AATTTGTTTTATCTTATTTCTCCATCCTATTTTGTTTGCTACGACTTCCATTAGACTTCTTTCACTTCTTTATGAACACTTTAGTCTAGAAAATTCTAATTCCTTGTCTTAAGAGTTTGTTCATTGTTCAGTATTGGCATTTGGTACGTTGCAATAAAAATAGGGAAGGTCAAAAGAATATCTCATCCTCATCATGCTTTATCTACAATTTTTCTGATATTTTGTATGGTTTTGCAGTAGCACATCATTTCTTAGTGAATAAATTCAGTAAAAAACCTCTTTTAGGAATTCATTCCTCATTTATTTAGTATGGCTAATGTAATTTCCCAATTCCATTTTATCATGGTTGGCTGAACTTTCGTAAATAAAAATATTGTGTTCTCCAGGATGGGCCTGACATCCTCATCTGCGACGAGGCCCATATGATCAAGAACACCAGAGCTGATACTACCCATGCGTTGAAACAAGTGAAATGTCAGAGAAGGATTGCATTGACTGGATCGCCTCTTCAGAACAATTTGATGGAATACTATTGCGTATGACTTGACATATATCTGATTTTGAATCTAAGAGTCAGTATCTTATCATCCATCCTCACCAACTTGTATTTTATCATACAGATGGTTGATTTTGTTAGGGAAGGATTTCTTGGTAGTAGCCATGAGTTTAGAAATCGGCAAGGCTCTTAACTTATATTCATTTTATTTTTATAGTCCCTGAGCCTTTGTTTTCATGTTTCCTCATCATCGTTGTGCTGAATTGCAGTTACCAAAATCCAATAGAAAATGGTCAGCATACCAATTCTACTGCAGAAGATGTGAAGATAATGAATCAAAGATCCCATGTTCTGTATGAACAGTTAAAAGGATTTGTTCAAAGGATGGACATGAGCGTTGTCAAAAAGGATTTGCCTCCAAAAACTGTATTTGTAATAGCCGTAAAGCTATCTCATTTGCAGAGACAATTGTATAAAAGATTTCTCGACGTGCATGGATTCACAAAGGACAAGGTTTCTGGTGAGAAGATAATCAAGAGATCTTTTTTTGCGGGGTACCAGGCCTTAGCTCAGGTATATTCCCTGTTTATGCGTGATTTCTGGACCTTTGTTTCATTTTCTTGATTATCCAACACATACTTCCATGTATTATACATGATTTTTGTGAGAAAGAAACCTGGATTGACAATTTATCAAAGTCGTTCTTTCATGCACTTTATTCTTATTTTACCTATTAAAAAAAGTAATTTTCTCTTCAAATTGCTAATTACTGCCCCTTGTTATAATTTAAAAACATCAGAAAGAATAAAAGTGATTGGAGTAATTCATTAAAATTATCTAAAATATTTTATTTTCAGATTCTGTCTACTGACACATGCTCTTTGTAGTTCCAGTCATGCACGAATGTAT